TTGTTTTCTTCAAATAGTGATTCCTCCAACTCCGAAACGGAGGGAAAACGATCGTTCTTCGAAAAGACATCCGCAATCTTCATTTAGATCTAGTGAGGCTAGCCTCGAAACTAGATCAATGATTTATGTCTGTCTGTCTAGATCTAGACCTAGGCCATAGATCTAGAAGAACCTAGGTCTTCCCTGAGCCAAGAGGGCGCTGAAACTTTCCGAAATCACAAAAGAGTTCCCCTACCGGGTTTGTATACTTTGTGACTTTGTTCCTGGTTACGGGGTCTGTATACACACTCCCTTATTAAAACTGATCAGATAACTTTATAATTTATACTCTTGAACTGTTGTCTTTAAGACTGATGTGTGTGTGTGTTTTTTCCATTCCTCTAAAGTCCTGAAAGGCCTGAAAAATTTCCCACTCTGAGAAACTTAAGTATTTTCTATTAGATCTAGATTTTTCTAGATCTAGAATCTATATATATGTGTCACGACCCGCTGGAATCGGGCGCTCGTAAATTTTTGGGCATGTTGAGTTTATGGTGTCATCTTAAAGCTTTTATTTTAAATTTGTCTTGCTTTTAATGAAAAAATTATAACCATCTGTCTTGATTAGAAGTAATAGAAGTCAAAATACTATTTTCAGTTGAAGAAAGAAGGGGTAACCTGATTACGGAGGTAAATTTATCGAGAAAATAGCCGTCAAAGTTTGGTAGTTTCAATAGCTTGAGAGTCCTTGGGAAATGAAACTTTACAATTTTTGTATCTTAAATCAATGGTTTTCAATACAATCCAGACAAAAATTTGCTTTTAAAAATAGACATAAAAGGTGTTGAGCCCCACCAAAATTTTTTCATTAAAAAATTTGCCTAGCTGGCGGAAAAATACAGTCTTCTTCAATTTCATTGTGTGACGAGTGCCTGATTTCACCAAGATGCCACTCTTATCTTATAGATTTCTCTTATCTTATCAGGTATGACATTTTAGGTCTTTTTCTATATTATATATTACAATTAATTATATTATTGAAGTTTTTGTCTTCTTTGTATCAGGTTTGGACATGGCTTCGGATCAATCGTCTGGCCTGTCTCGGCAGGCTGGTCTAACCCACACTGCGAAGTCTTTGCTGAGAAATGTCATTCGACACACTGATACACATAACAGAGTAAGTGTGGGGGCTCTCGTGGTCTAGAGGTTAAAATATTAGCCTTTCATTCAATTTGTCCTGAGTTCGAATCTGGATATCATCGGAAAATTTTCTTCTCTTTAAGTTTCTCTTTTCGTGTCCTTTCCTACTTTCTAACAATGTTCTGTCGTCTGCTTTCGTCTCCACCTTCTGCCCCCCCACCACCTTCTTTGCCCCCTCCTCTGGTCTCCTGATTCTTTCTGTAGCCTTTCTACTGCTACTCTTTGGCTCCTTCTTACTGCTGTCTTTCAGCCACACTCCTGATCTTATTAGAGGAATATCATTCGGTAGCTACAAGACCACATGTATGTGCCATCATTCGTATCTGTTCCTTGTGTCCATTATTATTATTTCCCTTATTG